GGGTGGGATGTTTGCACGTGCAGTGGAAGGGACAGCTTCAAGACAGTCAGAGTGACTTGCACAACACGGTTCGATTTTCTTTAATATAGGAATTCGGATGTACCACCTTCCCCCCCCCGCGTGAGGGGTGTGCCAAACTGAGGGGATGGCGGCATGCGGGCGCAGCCACTGGGGCCTTAGGTGGAGCTCCGTATGGGGCCACGAAACGTCTGAGGGGTGTGCCAACATGAGGGGCTGGCGGCATGCGGGTGCAGCCACTGGGGCCTTAGGTGGAGCTCCCTATGGGGCCACGCCACGTGTGAGGCGTGTGCTAAAATGAGGGGGTGGCTGCATGCGGGTGCAGCCATTGGGGCCTTAGGTGGAGCTCCCTATCTGGCCACGAAACGTGTGAGGGGTGTGCCAAATCAGGGGGTGATGGCATGCGGCCTTAGGTGTGAGGGGCGTGCCAAAGTGAGGGGGGTGACGGGAGGAGGGCGACGCAGTAGGAGGAGGAGGGAGGAGCGGGAGGAGTTTGAGGAGGAGGAGGAGGAGGAGGTGAGAGGAAAGGAGAGGAGAGGAGGGACGCGGGGACCGTCTCTTTAAAACGAGGACCAAACACCACAGGATGGCTGGGGAAAAACAGGAGGAAGTGCACACGCGCACGTCGCCGCGCGCGCATGCCGAAATCTTTCAAACACTTTTAGGTTTCTTAAGGGTTTCAAAATCGAGTGCCCCGAAAACATATGATTTTCCAATCTAAGGTTTACGCGCGCTCTATGGTGAATTTGTAGCAACGCCATCGGTTTTCAACATCTTCATCAATTCGACCAAGCGGGCCTCTCCGCAAGCGCATGTCGAAATCATTCGAACGCCTTTGCGCGCGTGGTGGGGGGGGGGGGGGGGGCGGGAGGGGGCGGGACGCGATCAGTGCCAAAGAACACCACGCGGGCCACTCGCTTCCGTCAGTCGCGCGCGCATGTCAAAATACATCCAAAACCTTCATCGCCGACACGTGGACACCAACATTGTCGTCGGCGTTGTCAGCACCTGTGCCGTCATTTGCCTTGCCCTCGTCATCGTCATGGTCGTCGCCGCCGTCGCTGCTATCATCATCGCGTGGGCCTTTGTTGCGGTCGCCATGATACTGCGCCCGCCCGAGTCGCCGACTCGCATTGAAGTGCCCGCGCGTCAGCGCGGCCTGCGAGACGCGCTGGGAAGCCCCCGGCGGGCAGCGCCACCGCGGCCGCGTCGGTCGCGCCAGACTCGCATTGAAGTGCTCGCGCGTCACCGCGGCCCGCGAGTCGCGCTGGGAAATCCCCAGTTGTCAGCGCCACCGCGGCCGTGTCGGTCGCGCCAGAGTAGCTGACCGCTCTGAACGCGAGCCTGCGCGCGCTAGGACGGCCGCAGCGATGCTCCAGCCAGCACAAAACAATCATTGCAATCGCCGCCGCATGGGTACATCAAACCAAGATGCGGGTGGGTGGATGGGTCGGATGATTGCGCGAGCAGTGGAGTTGGCAACACACAGCGAGCAGTCACGAAATGCACCACATAGGTTGCGCAACTTAGGTTGCCCAACGCATACGTATATTCAAACATCTCATTTGGGCCCTCCGCTGGCTAGTGTATGTTTTCCTATCTGTGTGTATATATATATGTGTATATATATATGTGGTGCAACGCACCAATGCTCGCAGTGAGTTGTCAACCCCACTGCTCGCACAATCATCCCATCAACCCCGCCCGCAGCTTGGTTTTCAAAATCCATGCGTCGGCGATTGCGATGAGTGCTTGGCGTTGGATGGTGCGTCTCTGCGGCAGCGCTAGCTCGGGCATCCTCGCGCGCGCAGCGGCCAGCTAGTGTGGGGCGACCGACGCGGCCGCGGTGGCGTTGACCGCTGGGCACTGAGTCGGTGACTTGGGCGGGCGCGGTATCACGGCGACGCCGACAACGGTAGATTCGATGATGAGAGTAGCGATGATGGGGGCAATGACGACGGCAAGGCCAATGACGGAGCCGTTGTTGATTACGCCCGCCGACAACGATGACGATGCCCTCGCGTTGGTGATGCAGGTTTTGGAAGGAGTTCGGCGTGCGCGCGCAGCCGACGCGCGCGAGTGGCCCGCGTTGTCTTAGTTGACACGGATTATGCTATCTCCCGCATGCGCGCAAGGGTGTTCAGATGATGAGTTCGACATGCGGCGTGAGCGAAAGGCCCGTATGGCAGATATTGGTGCCAATGTTTTGAAAAAGCGAGGTCTTCAAGATTTCGCAGCATCGCGCGCAGGTTTGGTTGTGGAAACCGACGTTGCGTAACTATGTGTTTTGTGTGTGTCCCGGGGCGCTCGCTATTGAAATCATTACCATGGCGCGAAACGCCACCGCAGTTCTGTACATGTGTATATATGTATATACAAAGCCATGCGCGTGCGATGACGCGCGCGTGTGCACATCGCCCCGGGTTCTTGCGCAAGCACACGCGTGAAGGCGATCGAACGATTCTGACATGCGCGTACGGGATACCGTGTTCGTAGAATTTTATGGGGCAGTTGAAGACCTTATTTTTTAGAGTCAGCAACAACGCGAACACTTTTTGGTTTGCACATTCTTATTGCGAAACCATGTGTTGTTTATATGTTGTCGTGATGCTCGGTTGTGAGATCCTTACGACACCGAGAGTTTTTTTTTTTTTTTTTTTTTTTTTTTTTTTTTTTTTTTTTTTTTTTTTTTTTCCTCTCTCCCCTCTCTCAAAGATGTCGGCATGCGCTGGCGACAACGCGCGCGTGTGCACGTCGTTGTTTAGATTTGCAAACCCACGACAATGGGTGATTTGTGATAACCGAGTGTTCGCGCATAGAATTATCTGAGGAAGGATGAGGGGGCGGATGTTGGACTGCGTGGGATGGTGTGAGTTCATAATTCGGATGGGCGATGGGGCAGAAACGTACGTACCCTGCAATACGAAAGCGGGGGCCGTTAATTCCCGGGGGGGGGGGTATATCCTAATATTCATGCAGACAGGCGAATATACGCGGTGCAATATAAGTGGTGCGAACAATTTCTGTTCGCAGTGAGTTGACCACTACACTGCTCGCGCAAACATTCCACCCACCCACCCGCAACTTGGTTTGCAAAATCTCTTGAGACCCTGACGGTGGGTACCAATTGTCACTTGGCAACGACAGCGACGCCGACGACGACAGCGACAACGACGACGACGCCGCCGACAGCGACTACGACGACACCGACGACGACGACGACGATGCCGACGCCGACGACGACGACGAAGACGACGACGACGTCGCCAACGAAGACGACGACGAGGGAGGAGGGAGGACGACGACGGCGACAACGACGACAACGACGACAACGACGAGGGAGGAGGGAGGACGGCGACGACGCGAACGACGAAGAAGGAGGAAGGATGGCGACGCCGACGACGACAACGACGTGGGAGGAGGGAAGACGACGACGACAACGACGACGACGACGACGACGGCGACGAAATAGGAGGGACGACGACGAGACGACGACGGACGACGACGACGACGACGACGAGGGAGGAGGAGGAAGGACGACCACGGCGACAACGACGACGGAAACGACCACGACGCCAAAGAGGACGACGACGACGAACACGAGTAAAGACAGAGGACGACGTAGGCGACGACGACGACGACGACGCGGGAGGAGGGAGGACGGCGACGACGACGACGACGACGCAAGAGCGCGCGCGCACGCTTTTGTTGAAAATCCGTGTTGCCAAACCTTGTGTTTTTTGTAGGTTTTTTGGACACACGATTTTGAAATCCTTCCGAAGCCGATGGGTTTTGAAGGATTTCGGCATACGCGCGCGACGACGCGCGCGTTGCAGAGGATTCTCACGACGGCGCACGCGCAAGGGTGTTCGACAGATTTCGACATGCGCGCGCGCGAAGCCCGTTTGGTAGCATTTTGTAAACATCTTGAAAACCTATGGTTTTCGTAAGATTTCGCAAGAGCTCGCGCGTAAGCTTTTTTAGCAAACCAGTTTTGCGAAACCCTGTGTTTTTGTATGTTTTGTTGGGAACTCGATTGCGAAATCCTTCCGACACCGAAGGTTTTTGGAGGATTTCGGCATGCGCACGCGACGACGCGCGCGTCTGCATTTCGTCATCTTTTTCAAGGGATTCGTGAACAAGTCTTATGTTGGAACAAAAAATGTCCCCGCGTATCGTTTTTTACAAGGGAACCTCAGGGGAACCGATACCGGCCCTCCTGGGGTAGTGTAAGTTCACATTTAGGATGGACAGGTGGTCATAATCATGAATGATTTACGTACCCGAGAGGGGGGCGGAAAACGCTGCGGGGGGTAGAGTCTATTCTCTTTTTAGAAAGGAGAATACATGTTGTGCAATCTATTCGGCGACGGGGCGGCGACAAGGCAGCGACGGCGAGCACGGAGCAGCCAGACCGCCAGGCAGGCCCAGACGAAGGGCGGCGACGAGGCGTTGACGGGGTGGCGACGGCGAGCGCGAAGCCGCCAGACCGAGATTCGGGGCCAGACGACGGGCGGCGACGAGGTGGCAACGGGGCGACGACGGCGAACACGGAACTGCCAGGCAGACATTCAGCGCCAGACGATGGACGGCGACGAGGCGGCGAGGGGGCGGCGACGGCGAGCACGGAACCGCCAGACCGACATTCGGGGCCAGTTCCTTAGAAGAGAAGTGAGAACCCCTCAGTGCAACCACAGTTTGGGGACAATTTTTCAGGCGGGCCTTTAAAGCCAGCTTCGGGAGGTGGATCAGATTCAAGTTTCCTGATTGAGAATGAAGAGCTTTATGTTTTAGTGGCTATGGGGCCATCGCCTGGGCCGCAGGGCCTGAAAGGAACAAAAGGAAGAGGAAGACGAAGAGGAAGAGGAAGAGGATGAGGATCAGGATGAGGATGATGATGGTGATGATGATGATGATGATGAGGAGGAGGAGGAGGAGGAAGAGGAGGATGAGGAATAAGATACGGCTCCACCTGATCGCAGGCAGGTCAAGGAGGTCCGGACGCAGCTGCAGCGGGACGACTTGCACCGCAAGCTGTATTCCCTGGATTTCGCCATCGATCTCACCGTCAAGGCCAAGGCGGAGCTGGGACTCCTAGCCGTCTCCACTTCCTCCCTTCCATCCTTCCATCTTGCTCCCCCGGTCTCCTTATCCACTGCTCTCTGCACCCCGCGAGGTCCCTGGAGTTCTCCAGAAGCCATCAGAGGCCCGAGAACGTTTCAAAAGCATGACACCGTCCGAAGTCATGACGGGTCCCGCACTCGATGGTCGAGGGCCGAGGGCAAGACGCAGCACTCCGCTGCTAAGATCTCCCTAGGCCGCCGTAGTGGGGTCGAAGCAACTGGGTCGGTGGACCGCGCTGAATCGCTGATGCATCGGCGGTGGAGCTCGATTCGGAGCACGATTTCAAGATCACCCTCAAGGGGCGCACAGAAAATCGTCCTACCTTCTCGTGTGCTTCCTTTTTTCTTTTTATGGTTGTCGTTTATGCTTCGGACGAGGAGCAGAGGATGAGGAAAAAAGGAAGCACACGAGAAGGTTCGTGCGTCGCGCACCGCGGCCTGGTTTGGAGAGGCGCCCCTCTCCAGGGCGGCGGCTCGAGAGAGCGAAGGTAACCGCGGGCCTCGCACCGCGAGGCGCGTTGCGCGAAGTTAGGCGACCTACAAGCCTCGTCAAAAATAATCAGAAACGAAGTTGGAAATCACGACGGTCGATCTTCTCGGGCACTTGTTAGAAACTGCGTTCTTCAATGCTGCGGCGGGGTTGTCGGATTTTTGAAGCCCTTGCGCCCACGTCAGATATCTAGCGTCAGCATTGGAGTAGCGCTGCCCATACAATCACCGAAAACAGAATCCCTCAGTTTATTTTTGACGAGGGTTGTAGGATTTGCTCCATCCCGACGTCGCCTGTGATCTTCCGAATCCACCTGCTCGGACCCCATGTGGGCGGCCTCCAAACTTCGCTGCCCTGGCCAGGGCACGTCCAGCCTGGGCCTCGTGCTCAACCGGACCGTGGACTGGGTGCCCATCGGCATCAGCAGGATCGAGCCCGACAGCCTCGTGGGCCAGTGGAACGCGAGGCGCGAGCACACGCCCGTCCTTCGGGCATCCTTCGCAGCTTCACTTCCCTTCCCATCATGGGCCGAAGGGCCCCCGAGACGCTTCCACGACGCCCCCGCACGGCTCCCAATAGAGCCGTGCGAAGGGTGTGCCGCGATAGGCGGAGGGACGCTGTGCGTGTTCTGTCCCTGGCACCGTTCGTGGGCACGCTCCGTGTGAGGGGGCGCGCCGTCCTGGGCGGCGCGCCGACCTCCGTTTCGACACAGAACAGCAGTTTTCACATTGTGCTTGTGAGATTTTCTGGTCCTCGGAGTCTCGGGCTCGGGGAGGGATGCTGAGGACGAGGAGGGAATGGAGCGAAGGACGAGGAGGACTCGAGAGGAGGAAGGAGGTGAAGGAGGTGAAGGTACACAAGGAGGGACATATTGAAGATAGCGGGGAAGACAGGGAGGAGGAGGAGGAGGAGGAGGAGGAGGAGGAGGAGGAGGAGGAGAAGGAACAGGGGTCCTCTTCCGGGAGACGCCGTCGAGGAGGAGGATGAATTCAAGATGATGGGGAGAGATAGAACGGGAAAGAGGAGGAGGGGGAGGGGACTGCAGTAGACCTGGGATGATGACGGCGATGACGCTGATGATGACAATGACTATGCCGACGACGACGCCGACGACGAAGAAGATGTTGATGATGTGAATGATGATGATGATAATGTTGATTATGATACTGATGATAATGACGAACATGAGGATGACGATGATGACGACGATGATGACGATGCTGATGATGATGGTGGTGGTGATGATGATGGTTGTGATGGTGATGGTGATGATGAGCATGACCATGACGATGACGATGAAGATGATGGGGATGAGCATGACGATGATGACGATGATGATGATGATGATGATGATGATGATGATCTTAGCTAGAACTTGAGCGCGCGCGCAGCGCGCGGGATGCTTCTCGTATGCACATGTATCCACATTCATACACATACATGTACACATACATGTACATGTACATATATGTTTACATTTACACATACAGGTACACATACACATACATATACATCTACGCGTACATATACGTTGGCACACACATACATATACATATAATATACATATGCGCATGCACACACATGCATCTACACATGCACATACATCTACATATCCACATACACATACTATGCAATTACATATACATTCACATGTACACATACCTGTACATGTACACATGTACACAAACACACATAAATATGTATATATATATACATTTACATACATACCATTATACACATACGTTTACACACACGTACACATTAGCACTTCCATTTGCACACACATCTACGTAAATATATATATATATAGTTATGCATGCAAGTCTGTATGTATGTATGCTTGTATGTATGTGTTTGTATGTATATGTGTATGTCTGTATGTGTGTATGTATGTATGGATGGATGGATGTATGGATGTATGGATGGATGGATGGATGGATGTGTGTGTATATTTATATATATAATATAATCAGGCCGTCGCCATACTAATGCAGGGTCCAGAGTGGGCCCTCTTCGGGTCTCTCGAGGCCGTTATCAGGCCGTCTTGGGGCCCTCTGGGGCCGTCTTGGTCCGTCAAGGCAAATTTGGGGGCCTCTTAGGGGTGTTCTGGGGCTGGTTTGGGGCTCAGTTGGGCTGTGTTGGGGCCCTCTTGGGCCGTCTGGAGCCCCTCCTGGCTGCCTCTTGGAGCGTCTCGGGGCCGTCTTGGGCCCCTCTTGGCCCGTCCCCTGCTCGTCTTGGGACCCTCTTGGGCGCCTATTGGGCCATGTTGGGGCGATCTCAGGGGCCTCTTCGGCCGTCTCGAGCGCTCTCGAGACCGAGAAATCGAGTATGCGAAAATGGCACCGAAACCTCAGGAACACCTCTAATTCTTGATTCCTGGGGGACTCTTTGGAGTCGTCTTCGGCCCCCCTTGGGCCATTTGTGGAGCCCGTTGGGCTGTCGACTGGCCATCTTGGGCTCATCTTGGGCCATCTTGGGCCCATCGTGGCTGTTGTGGGGCGCTCGTTGGGCCATCTTGGGGCCATCTGGGGCTGTCTTGGACCCTCCTGGGGTGCTCGGGAATCAGCCTCCTGGGAGTCACCTGAAGTTGTATTGGATCAGTTGTCTATGTAAATAAGTACACATTGTGTGAGTACATTTATGCACGCAGACTAAATATTTGATATATGTAATATGTCTGATCTAGCCGTGTCTATGTATATAATACACTATAAATGAATACCGCCCCCCCCGGCCCCAGGTCCCACACCTCCCCGCCACATCTCTGGAACGCTTCCGGTACTGCTCCCCTGGCCTTTCCGGGGAGCCTCCACAGCGCTCCAGGAGGGCGCAAGACGCCCCCCAGGAGCTCCCAGAATGCGAAATGATGGCCCAAGATGCTCCCAAGCAGCCCAAGTCAGCCTTCCGACGCCTCTCGAGGCTCCCAGGTGGCCTCCAAGAGACCCCCAAGAGAGGTCCGAGAGGCGTCCCGGGACGGCCCGAAGAGGCCAAACTCGTCGATTCCTATTTGTTTTTTTCAATATTTTTGGCTTCTCGCGTTTTCGAGCGCTCTTGGACCGTTGGAAGTTCCAACGGTCCAAGAGCGCTCCCAAGACCGCCCCAAGACCACCCAAGAGACCCTCAGGACGGCCCCAAGACCGCCCAAGAAGGCTCCAAGACTGTCGAAGAGGCGCCAAGGACAGCCCCAGACCACCCCAGAACAGGCCCAAGATTGGTCCAAGAGCGGGAGCAGGAGGCTTCCAAAGACCTCCGAGAGGCCTCCAGGACCACCCAGAGGCCCCCAACACACCTCCGATCCCTGAGAGGCCCGAAAAAGACCCCGACGAGGCTCCAAGAACAGCCCAAGAGAGCTGCGAGAGCCGTCCCGAGACAGCCCAAAGAGGGTAAGATCTTTAACTTCCAATGGAAAAACTTCTCACGTTTTCCCGGTTCCAACCGTCAAAGATCGAGGATTTTGAAAGAAGGGAATTCCAAGAATTCCCCTTTTTTTTTTTTTCAAAGTAGAACTCCTGCTCGGGGGTCCTACACATCCCCTGACATCTGGCCGGTACCGCGCCTCCTGGCTTCTTGGGGAGACCCCAAGACGCCGAAGGACAGCCCATGACGACCCCAAAAAGCTCCCAGAACGTAAAGAACGGCCCAAGACGTTCCCAAGCAGTCCAAAACACCTTGTGGACGGCTCTCCACGCTCCCAGGAGGCCTCAAAAAGGCCCCAAGAGAGGTCCGAGAGGTGTCCCGGGAAAGCCCGAAGAGGCCGAAATCGTCGATTTTGATTGTTATTTTCAATGTTCTTGGCCTTCTCGCGTTTTTGAGCTGTCTTCGCATGATTTTTCCATGGCTTGTGTAAGTTGTCATGTTCTGCCGATGCGCCGTCTAGGCGCGGCCTTTTCCTGTCCTGTCCAACGGTCCAAGACCGCCTCAAGACCGCCCAACAGATTCCCAGGACGGGTCCAAGACGGGCCAAGAAACCCCCAAAATTGCCGAAGAGGCGCCCGGTACCGCGCCCCCCCTTTTTTTAAAAGTGGACTCCTACTCGGAGATCCCACACATCCCCTGATATCTGGCCGGTACCGCGCCTCCCGGTTTCCCGGTGGGCCCCCAAGACGCCCAAGGACAGCCCAAGACGACCCCAAGGAGCCCCCAGAACGTAAAGGACGACCCAAGACGCTCCCGCGCAGCCCGAGACACCCTTCCGACGGCTCTCCAGGCCTCCAGGAGGCCTCCAGAACTCCCAGGGAGTCCGGAAGATCCCACACTCCTGAGGGGCCCAGCTAACAAAACCCGCCAGGCACAAATAAATTAACCTGTGACGTACCCAACCCATTTGTATCAATGGAAGCGAGGAGTTGGCCGAACCTTGCATGGACAATCAACTTGATGTGTAAGCTACTTGGGACACGCGCCTATGGCATGATGCGCAGGAGAACCATACAAGAACGAGGGGCGACAGCTACAGGCTCGAAGAGGACATGGGGAGTCGGGAACGCAGAGCAGGAGAAAAACGTGCGGGAAGCCGAACCATCAGCACGGCAGCAGCAGAGGGAAGGTGACTGCAGGAGGAGAACAAGGACGAAAGCGGCGTCTCATTTGAATCCTTCGTGAGTACCACTGTGCTGGGCCCCCCAGCAGGCCTTGGAAATGGCGACAGTTTCACAGATCGCAGCCCCCCAGGGATGGCGAGGTCCCATTTGAATCCGCCGTGGGTACCCACTGTGCTGGGCCCCCCAGCAGCCCTCGAAAGTGGCGACAGTTTCACAGATCGCAGCCCCCCAGGGATGGCGAGGTCCCATTTGAATCCGCCGTGGGTACCCACTGTGCTGGGCCCCCCAGCAGGCCTCGAAAGTGGCGACAGTTTCACAGATCGCAGCCCCCCAGGGATGGCGAGGTCCCATTTGAATCCGCCGTGGGTACCCACTGTGCTGGGCCCCCCAGCAGGCCTCGAAAGTGGCGACAGTTTCACAGATCGCAGCCCCCTTGGGATGGCGAGGTCCCATTTGAATCCGCCGTGGGTACCCACTGCGCTGGGCCCCCCAGCAGGCCTCGAAAGTGGCGACAGTTTCACAGATCGCAGCCCAGGGATGGCGAGATCCCATTTGAATCCGCCGTGGGTACCCACTGTGCTGGGCCCCCCGGGCGCCTCGGAGCGACCCCGGAGACATTCTGGAGCTTCATGGGGCGCCCAAGAGTCGCTCCAGACGGCTCCAGATGCTTCCAAGTTTCGTCTCACAAATCCCAGATGGTCTCCGAGAGGCCTCAGAGAGCTCCTCCTCCTCCTCCTCCTCCTCCTCCTCCTCCTTTTTCTTCTCCTTTTCTCCACTCCCGCCCATCCCCCGCCCGTCCTTCATCTTGCTGATAGGGTTTGGGGAGGGGGTGTGGGGTGCACCCGAGGCACCCGGAGGCGAAGGTCATGGTCGGCGACGAGGTCGTCAAGATCAACGCGGCCAGGTGCTCAGAAGCCACAGGGTCGATCAGGGCCCGACCAGGTCGTTGACCCGATGATGATGACGACCATGGTGATGATGATTCTGCTGCTGATGATGATGGTGATGATGATGCTGCTGATGATGATGATGATGTTGTTGTTGATTATGATGATGATGAGAATGATGAAGATGCTGAGTATGACAAGGATGATGATTATGATGATGATGAAGATGATGCTGATGGTGATGACTATCACTATGACGATGATTCTGAGGACGCTGTGGACGACGATGATGAGGAGAGTGAGGATGATGATGCTGATGATGATGATGACGATGATGAGGATGAGTGATGAGGATGATGCTGCTGATGATGATGATGTACAATGATGATGATTTTCAGGATGAGGATGGTGATCTTGGATGATGACGATGATGCTGCTGCTGCTGATGATGATGATCACGATGATGATGCTGCTGATGATGAGGAGGAGGAGGATGAGGATGTGCAGCATGAGGATGGGAATTATAATGCCGCTGCTGCTTCTGCTGCTGCTGATAATAGTGATTATGATGATGGTGAAGATTATCATGATGATGAGGAGGATGATAGTGATGATGATGATGATGATGATGATGATGCTGATGCTGACGCTGATACTGATGCTGATGCTGATGATGATGATGGTGATGGTGATGGTGATGATGATGATGATGATGATGAGGATGAGGATGAGGATGAGGATGAGGATGATGATGATGATGCTGATGATGATGATGATGATGATGATGATGATGATGATGATGATGATAATCACTACTGCCGCCTCTGGCCGCTCTGTTCGGCGCGGCCATCACCGCTCACTGCGTGGTGGCCGAGCCCAACGGGCATGTGGAAGGCTCGCCACGTAGGGCAACGGGCAAGCGGAAGGCCCTGCCACGAGGGGGGAAAGGCTGGCGGCGCAGGTGCCCAAAACACGGAATTCGAATGTGGACCCCGGGACCGGAAACGACACGACACGACGGGGAAGATGGACCGCCAATCGCGTCCCAAGGCGGCGAGTGCGGGGAGTGATAGCCCGCACCGCCTGATGGTGATGAGGATGTGGATGATGATGAGGATGATGCTATTGATGATGATGACGACGGTGATGATGTGATGCTGATGATGATGGTGGTGGTGGTGATGATGATGCTGATGATGCTGATGATGCTGATGATGATGATGACGAGGAGGAGGAGGAGGGAGGGGGAGAATGTCGAGGAGGAGGATAAGGAGAAAAATGTAGACGATCATGAGGAATACGATGGAAGGACAACTGGGGGATACAGAGGAGAGGATAGGAGTGGAAGGCGCACGATCTGGAGTTTGCGATTCAGGAGATGGCTAGGCATGGAGGCGGAGGAGGCCCGCCTGGGGATGATGCCTTTTACGGTTGCGACGATGGGATGGGAGTGGCGGTGGTGATGATGATGATGACGACGACGAGGATGGCGATGACGAATACGATTACGATGACTATGACTATGACGATGACGATGATGGTGATGATGACGATGATGCTGATGATACTGATGATTATGATGATGAGGAGGATTATGATGATGATAATGATGATGATGACGATGACGACGATGATGATGTTGATGATGATGATGATGATGCTGATGCCGATGATGCTGATGATGCTGATGATTCTGGTGAAAGTACTGTTCACGCTGATGATGATAGTATCGTTCGTAGAGGTGGTGACGTTGGTAATAACGATGCAGGCGATGATCGGACTGTCGATGGTGGTGGGTGACAACGGCGATGGAACTGCATTGCAGGCGGCGGTGGTGATAGCGATGATGATGCTGCTGATGATGATGCTGATGATGATGATGATGATGCCGATGATGCTGATGATCATGGAGATGATGACGATGCTGATTACGATGACGATGATGATGATGCTGATGATGATACTGTTGATGCTGATGCTGACGATTATGATGAGGATGCTGATGATTATGATAATGCTGCCGATGATGCTGCTGACGATAGTGATGTTGATGGTGGTGGTGATGATGATGCTGATGCTGATGATGATCAAGTTGGCGATGATGACGATGACGAAGATGCTGATGATGATGCTGATGATGATGATCAGGATGATGAGAGGGAGGATGAGAAGGACGAGGACGAGGAGGAGGAGGGGGAGCAGGACCAGTGTGAACCTAAGAGTCATCAACGATGTTGGAGTAAACCCTCCCTCCAAGTCCTTCTTCATAGGCCCCTACAACGGATCATTTCCATTGGGGGAACTGCCTCGTTGGAAGACATCCGTTTGAAGCCCGTTTGAAGGCCCTGAAGCATGCCAAAACATTGTTCTCAGGATTCCAACTCCACGGATCCTGACTGCTGCACCTTGACGATCCTGCATCGTGCCAGAACTCCGTTCCTAGGACTTCAACACAGAGAAGCAACGAACCTCTTGCACCCGCATAATCCCGAATCCTTCCCAAACAAAATTTATGGTACGTTGGTGATGGTAACCCGTGAAAGTTTCGACGATTTTGTGAACGAGTGTGCGCGGCGCTCGGGCGATTGCCACGTTGTGAAAAGGAGCCGCCCTCAATCCGTGAAGCTCTTGCAGATTTTGAAAGCGAATGTGCGCCGCCCGAGGGGCTCGCCGTTGCGGATCCTGCTGGAATTTTTCCCGCTGCGTCGCCGCACGCCTTCGGCCCTCCGCATTGGTGGAGAGGCCGAAGCGGGCTCTGCGCCGAGCTCGAGCCCTCGCGAAGGCGAGTTGAGCTCGGGGTCGTCGGACTCATGCGGTGGGCAGGCTGGCCTCAGTGGCGGGCCTCCTCTCCCATCACCTCTCTGCCCACGCTTGTGGGTCTTTGGCCGTTTTTTTTTTTTTTTTTTTTTTTTTTTTTTTTTTTTTTTTTTTTTTTTTTTTTTTTTTTTTTTTTTTTTTTTTTTTTTTTTTTTTTTTTTTTTTTTAATATATATATATATATATATGTATATATATATATATACACATGTATAAAAGGAGTTACATTTCGAAAACGACCCGCCCTCGATCCGTGAAGCTCTTGCAGATGTTTATAACGAATGTGCGGCGCGCTCAGGCGAGATCCACACTTCGGAAACGACCCGCCCTCAATCCGCGAAACTCCTGCAACTGTTTGTAACGAATGTGCGCCGCGCGGAGGCGAGAGCCACATTTTGAAAACGACCCGCCCTCAACCCGTGAAGCTCCTGCAATTTTTTACAGCGAGTGTGCGCCGCGCAGAGGCGAGAGCCACATTTTGAAAACAACCCGCCCTCCATATGTGAAACTGTTGCCAATTTTCAAGCTTCAGAATCAAAAAAGGCGAGAAAATCTCGGGCGGAACGCCCGGCCCGCCCTAAAAATTGGCCTCGGGGTGTGACAGGGGAAAGTTGTTTATATGGAAAAGGAATGAATGAGGAGGAGAGGTTATTCGATGACTGGACGACTGTGGGATGCAGAGGAGAGGGAGGCAGACGATATGGAGTTGCGATTCAAGGGAGCCAACCTGGGGATGGTGTCTTTTTCGATTGCGACGATGAGATGATCATACAGGTGTTGATGGTGCCGACGAGGATGACGATGACGATGATGATGACGATGCCGATGACGATGGCGATGACGATGATCATACGCTGCTGGTGATAATGGTGATGATGAGGAGGATGTGGATGAGCATGAGGATGACGCTACTGATGCTGATGATGATGCTGATGCTGATGATGATGGTATTGTTCACGCTGGTGGTAATCATATTTTTCATGGTGGTGATGACGTTGATCATGATGACGATTGCGACGATTGGCAGGATGATGGTGGATGGTGGCAACGGGCATGGTACTGTATCGCAGGCGGCGCTGATAATGACAATGACGATGACGAAGACGATCATGATGGTGCTGCTGTTGTTGTTGTTGTTGTTGTTGTTGTTGTTGTTGTTGTTGTTGTTGTTGTTGTTGTTGATTGTGATGGTGATGGTGGTGGTGGTGGTGATGATGATGATGATGATGATGATGATGATGATGATGACGATGATTTTGTTTTTGATGCCGATGATGATGGTGATGGTGATGATGATGCTTTTATTTTGGTGGTGGTGGTGATGATGAGGAGGAGGATGAGGACGAGGAGGAGGGGGAATTACAGGAGGAGAAGGAGGAGAAGGAGGAGGGGGCAGGAGGGGGGGATGAGGGGGGGGAGGAGGAGGAGGAGGTGGAGGATGATCAGGGGGAGTTTGGATGAAAGGACGGAATGGGGGATGCAGAGGAGAGGGAGGCGCGCGATGTGGAGGAGGCGACTCAGGAGATGGCCACGTAGGCAAGAAGGAGGAGGGGGAACACCCGGGGATGATGCCTCTTACAATTGCGACGATGGGACGAGAATGGTGATGGTGATGGTGACGACGATGATGATGACGATGACGATGACGATGACGACGGCGATGGTGATGATGCTGTTGACGATGATGCTGATGACGATGACGATGATAATGATGATGAGGAGGAGGATCAGGATGATGATGATGCTGCCGATGATGATGATGCTGTTGATGATGATGATGATGATGATGATGATGATGATAATGGGGATGATGATGATGATGCTGATTATGCTGCTGCTGCTGATGATGACGATGATGCTGATGCTGATGATGATGGTACTTGTCACGCTGATGACGATAAACCATACTTCATGGTGGTTATTGAGTTGGTGATGCTGTTCATGGTGGGTGGCAACGGCGATGGTATGATATCGCAGGCGGTGAGCTGATGATGCTGATGAATATGATGACGATGACAATGGTGATGGTACTGTTGCCGACTGCGATGATGATGATGATGATGGTGATGACGATTCGGATTCTGATGATGATGCTGATGCTGCTGCTGCTGATGTGATACTGATGCTGATGATATGCTTATGCTGCTGACGATGATGATGCTGATGATGCTGCTGCTGCTGTTGCTGATTCTGGT